TGGGACCCTTGTTCAACTTCCCCCATTTCTCCCGTATAGAAGGAGTATGTACAGCTTCACCCAGCCCATAGCCAGGTCCCTGTCCCTAGCTCTCAGGGTCTCCTTTTCCACTGCCCTGACCTGTAGGGCACTGTCCAGTCCCCAACCCAGAACCGAGAGCAGTCTTTGGTGTCTGGGGCCGAGCCCGCAGGGCTCCTCTTGCCAGCACCTGCCTACTTGCCCAGGAATTGGCGCTCTACAGGTTCTTGCTAGGAATTGTGTCATCAAAGTCCTGGAAGATCAAGTTTGCCTGGAGTTGCCGAGGTCCCTCGGAGATGGCCCTGGGTCTTTGGACAGGAGTGTGAGCTAAGGTGTGGTTCTTAAAGTTTGTCCTTAGGAGCACTTCTGGCTGACTTCTGGGAACAGGATCCCTGTCGGTCCAGCCCCACCCTCAACCCCACCTCCTCCCAGCATAAAGACACTGGGCCCTCCAGCTCAGATTCCCCTTCCAGTAGGAGGTATGGGGTGGGGGTGGACTGGGGGTGGTACTCAGCTCTGTGCTTGGGCCCCTCACTGGTGTAGCTGACTCAGAGGCCAAGGCTTAGGAGCCTGGAGTTGGCTTATTCTCCTGTGTCCCCTGGCTTGCCATTGTACTAAGTCACTCCAGGGGAGAGGACCACTCCAGACTCAGGCTGTTCTTTCTACCGGGGGTCCAGCTGCAAGCCTGAAGCCTCTGTTGTCAGGCGGACGAAGGCGGGAGAGTGGCACCGTCGGTATTGCCATCAGGATGGAGATGGAAGGCAGCAAGGCCTGTGCCTAACATGGTTGGCCAAATCCTACCAAAGCTCTGGTGGCCATGGACAGCGTTGGTGACATGCTTCATGTGTCCGGCACGGCAACAGGGCAGCCTGTCTGCTTCATTTTATGACAAGAGCAGGCTGGACACGGCCTGTGTGTGTGGGTTATGGGTTACCTATACCGTATTGTTCCCACTGCATTGTCTGATTCCTCAGTCCATACGCAGTCCCTCCCTCACCTGGCTTCCAGACTACTCCTGAATCCTGAATCGCCCCTGCCTCCCTAGGGTCTCTTCCCTATGACTGGGAGTCTGTTTGAAGCTGTTCTTGCCCTGAGGAAATCTGAGCAGAAAGGAGTAGGCCTGCAAGCCACCACTGAAGATTGTCTCTCGGTAGTGGTCTTGTTGAGAGAGGCCTGGGGGCTACCATAACACTATCCAGGATCAAGGGCTCCCAAAGTGAACTGGCTGGACTGGCCAGGCTGTGTAGGAACCGGTCTGGCAAGCTTGGCCCCAGAACCTCCAGGAAGCTCAAGCTGGGAGGGGCCCAGGCTGCGCACAGCTGGCCTCACACTCGCCTGGCACCAAGACCGGGCAGGTTGCCTGTAGACAGGGCTTGGGGAGGCCTCCCCAGAGTGTCCTGAGTGACCAGCCTGGCCAGTGAGAGAGGCTGGGAGGAGCTATGGCCACCTGTGCCAAAACAGGCCGAGGGAGAGGGCGGCGCAGACCAGGTCATTCTGGTCATGGTGTCCTCTGCTGACCCCAGATGTGTCCCAGGTGTGGGGGGGGCGGTTCTCTGAGGTGCCTTCCGATACTTGGGCCATGAGGGACAGGCAGCCCTCCTTTCCCTGAGTCCTCCTTCCTCTTTTTCTCGGACCCTGTCTCCTTGCCTCCTTTTTCCCCTCCCCTCTTCCCATCCCTGTCTCTCTATCTTTGTATCTTACACAATCACACATGTGACAGTGCCCTGCCTCCATGCTCAGTATCTCGTTATCTGTTAAGTGGATGATGGGCAGACCAACCGTCTCCTCCCCGGAGAGGTCAGAGGTGAGAAGATATTACAGGGAGAACGGCGTGGCTTTGTCTGGTGTTGAAACTTCCCCTTGTCAGTCCCCAAGTGAGGACAGTATGTTTGGAGGCTTTGGGGGACCTGAGAGCTACTGGTTCCCAGGGAAGAGCTCGGAGGGTCTCTGGGCAGTGCAGAGCCCACCTGTATCAGTCAGAGACGGGGCCTGACTCAGCCCTGTCCCTGCCAGGCAGGGTTGCTGATCACAAAACCATGGAGCCCAAACACCTGGTCCCTCCCACCCACGGGAGGGAGGGACCCATGCAGGACAGACACTATGGCTGTTATTGTGCTAGGTATCAGGGCCTCTGGATAGACATGAGGCCACCGTTTTCTCAGAGCTTGTGGCCAGACCTGTATTCACCCACCTTGACCACAGGTTCAAGTTTCCCAGTGGTGGTTAACCAGACCAAGACAGGGTAGCTGGGGTACCTGAGTTCATGCTGGATTGCCAACCCCAGTCTGACTATCATAGAAAAAGGGATCCCACGGGGGATAGACAAACCTGGAGTGGGGGTTACTGGCTGCAGGGCCTGAGTCTTGGGAGCTACATCCTTAGTCACCTTTGGAAATGAGCCCTCCCAACTCTAAGATAGTGAGGGACCCCTAGGATGGGATCCCCAAGCTTCAATAGTGCCCAAGAGGTCAATTTGAAGTCCTGGGGCCCGGATGGCCTGCGGGCCGGAGGTCAGTCTCTCCTGTGGCAGGGTACTACGGAGTTGTAAGCTGTGTACTCTGTAGTTCTCGCATGGAGTTAGGTAGAGATGTTCATACCGGAGACCTGCCCAGCTGAACTCTTTTGTGCATATGCAAGTATGTGTGGGTGCACATGTGTACATGTTCGCGTGGATTGTCCGAGGACGATCTTGAGTGTCATTGCTAAGGTGCTGAGCCCCAGGAGCCATCTACCTCATTTGTTTACTTAGAGGCATGATCTCTCACTGGGCTATAGTGTACCAAGTAGGCTAGCCTAGCTGGCCTGGGAGTCCCAGGAATCCATCCACCTCCACCTCCCCAGAGATGGCTGGGATTACAAACGTGGGCCACTACACATCGGCCTTTTTCTTCGATGGGCGGGGGAGGGGGGGAGGGAAGGGAAGGGGCATTTTTATATTTTTGGTATTTTGAGACAGTGTTTGTGTCCTGTAACTTATTCTATAGACCCTCAGAAATCCAGCTGCCTCTGCTTCCTTAGTGTTGGGATTAAAGATGTGCACCATAGCTGCCCAGCTTGGGGGGGGGGTGTTGTATTTTTTCTTACCTCTGGAGATCAAACTCATGTCCTCCTGCTTGCAAGGCAAGACTATTATCAATTGAGCTATCTTCTCCAACCTGACTTTGTTTTTTGTTCTTCTTGTTTAAAGATGGGGTCTGTCTGTATTGCCAAGGCTGGGCTCGACTGCACAGTTAGCCTCCCCAAGTGCTGGGATTACATACCATAGGCCTGTCTCTAGACCTTTCTTGGGTTTTTAAATGTCATATGCTTGAACCACTTGGCTGGTGGAAGGGGGGTGGGGAGAGTGGAAGGCCAGGCCAGTCCAGTGACCACAGCTCTCAGGAGACCAGCATTTGCTGGTGCGGATATTCTTGGCCAAAGAGGCATTGTCTGTCTGGGTGCCACGGCTACCTCTGATGTCCTGAGAAGCCAGTGTGACCTCTTGGGTCCTCAGTGACCCCATCAGGAAGCTTGGGCAGGGTTCCTTCCTGGACCACTACACCCTGATCAGCCAACAGGTTTGCTGACAACTGTGTAGGTGGGTAGGCTAGAGCTGTCCCTGTTTGCAGAGGCTCTGTGATGGAAAGCAGCGCCCAGCGCGCCCCCCACCCCACCCTCCGGCCTCCCTTGCTGGGAGGGACAGGCCTGTGGCCTGCAGAAAAGCCACTGTGACACAGGCCCTGCCTGCCATGTCCCACACAGAGTAGTGACTACACGTTTCCTGAGGAGGCTTTTGTGACTTTAAAAGCTGAGAGCATGCTTTGCGGGAATTAAATACCAGAGGACGCCTGACAAACGGCTGGAAAGCAGCGGCAGCAGCTGCTGTTCGTTCCCAGCCATTTTCCTTCCTCAATTGAAACATCATTTTCTTTGTTTTTCTTTTGATAGAAATGTGGGTTCATCTTGAGGAGGAGGACGGAGCTACAGAATGGGAAGGGCAGACTTGGGGAGCGATGCCCAGAAGTAGCTTGGGAGATGGGAAGAAGAGCAGAGGGCGGGTCCAGGGACCTCCTGTGACCTGAAGAAAGGTGTTTGTGGCCGACCCAAGGGGTTGGGGCTCAGAAACCCAAGCTCACCTCAGTCTCAAGCTCTGAGGCCCAAAGCTGCATGGAGACCTGGGCCACTGACCTTGACTGGGGCTTGGGGGAAATACAGAGGGTAGACACCTGTCTTGTTCCTATGACTTCCACACGGGGGAGGGGGGGCAGGGCATGGGGGTCTGTGGGGCAGTGATCTATCCCAAGTACCCAGTGGGGGGGTCACTGGGGTGGGGCCGTTTCTGTGGGTGGTGCTAGTGTGTTGGGCATAGACCTGGCATGTGTCATCAAGTCAGGAACTGAGCCTTGATGCCCTTCCTGTGGCTTAATTTCTTCAGGAAAGATGGAGCGGTTGGCCAGGTAAGAGGGTAGGCTGTGCTGGCTGGCCAGTGACTAGGAAGACCCAGGAGGGAATGGACCAGGATGAGCCACTGCCATGTACTGCATTGCCCAACTGGACCCACATATGGACCAGTGGGCCCAGCCAGCTAAGGGCTGATAGCCACAGTTCTGAAGCCAAGAGGTGGGGTTTCTATAATGTAGTAAACCCTCCCAGGGATGCCTTCTATGTGGGGGGGGGGGGTGGAGGAGGGGGTGGAGGGGGAAGACTAGGCAAGAAAGCCCTCTTCACTTTGCAATGCTGAAGGAGTCTGACCTGATGCTGGCCATGCTGGGCGGCCCAGTTGCCCCCAGTCTCTGCCTTCACAGAAGTCTAATGCAGACTTCCATGGGCCTGGAAGTAGTGTGGGTAGGGAACAGATGAGGATTCTTGAAGGGATTCAACTCGAATCAGGGCGAAGGCCCAAGGCCTGCTGGAAGGAACCCTGAGTGTGCACTCCGAGTTGGTATAGAGAGCTTTATTGACGTTTCCTAGCTGTGGAGCTGACATGGGCCAGCTCCCAACTCCCAGGCCGTTTAGGAATAGAGGGTGTGCTCCCTGAGGGAGACAGCATGCACCTGTACGCAGGGGAGGGTGGCCTTCCTTTGAGGGTGCCCCTGGCTCCTTTATGTCCATGGACCAGGAGTGGCCTCTAGCTTAGAGCTTCCGGGTGATCTTCAGGGACGTGGGGCCACTGGCTGTCCCCCTTTGCCAAGACTCGGAGGTGTTTGAAGGCGGTGGGCAGCCTGTGGCCCAGGAACGGAGGAGTGGTCGCATCACAGATCATGACCACATACTCCCCTGTGAGGGATGGGGAGGGATGGGGAGGGATGTCTTCAGGCTAGTGTGGCCGCCATAGCCCAGACCCCTCATCATCCCTTGGGTAACTCAGCCCCTGTCGTCTCTGCCTGCCACCATTTTCTCAGGCCCCTACACTAGGACCCTGGGCCAGGCTGCCATCCGGGGGCTGGGTGTTTGGTCAGCAAGGTGAAGATATGTGTCTGGGGCACAGCAAGCAGCTTTCCAGACCCAGGCATCCTGGACACTGAAGTAAGCGGTGGTTGTTGGGAGAGAACAGATGTGTGGACAGTCCTCAGGGTCAAGCCACAGAGCCCCTTGCTCCCAACTGCTAGTCAGACCACATGGATGAGTCTTTTTGTAAATACTTGCCTACATTGTTTCTGGAGAAAACACATTCATTTTCTCTAAATGTTTAAGAAATAAATAGGGCATCTGAAGGGTTGAGGTGCCTGGTGGGGGCCCTGGGGGAGGGAAGGGCTGGGGGAGGGAAGGGCTGGGAACTGGGGGAGGGAAGGCCTGGGGGCTGGGGGAGGGAAAGCCTGGGGGAGGGAAGGGCTGGGGGGAGGGAAGGGCTGGGGGAGGGAAAGCCTGGGGGGCTGGGGGAGGGAAAGCCTGGGGGGGCTGGGGGAGGGAAAGCCTGGGGGAGGGAAGGCCTGGGGGGCTGGGGGAGGGAAGGCCTGGGGGCTGGGGGAGGGAAAGCCTGGGGGAGGGAAGGCCTGGGGGGCTGGGGAGGGAAAGCACTTTTCCTTTCCACAGTCTGTAAACTGTCTGGAGAGCTTCAAAGTTGGAGAAACCATAAAAAAGAAAATAAGAAATAACAAAAAGGGAAGTTGCCATAGAAACGGCCCTCTCTCCCTCCCCTGAGCCCGCTGGGGCTGGCACCAGAGTGTGGAAAATGCTCCTTGGCTGGCCCAGGCTCACACCAGGAATGTGGCCACAGCTGAAACTGGGCTGGAGCAGGCTCCCACCACCACCGAGCACAGCAGAGCCCAGCCGAGCGACATTCCAGCCACTGAGCAAGTGGTTACCCTCCATTCTGGCTGAGCTGAGGGCTGTACCTTCCTGGACAGGATCAGAATGGGCCTGGGAGCTGGAGGAATTTGCTTGGCCTTGGGTCAGTTTCTTCAGAGAAACTAGCTGTAGGAGGCCCATGAGCTGGGGCTGGGGTACTTGGGGAGGGGGACATACATTCATACATTCTACCAGGAAAGCATCGGCAGCCGGCCAGGCTCTCTGGCAGCTGTAAGAAAAGCCCTGCATAGCGACGCCACAGTGTTCCCAAGCAGCCCATCTCTAGGCGTTCCCAGGGACATGCAGCTGCACCAGGCTCGGCCAAGGGTGCTGGCCTGGAGAGCCAGTGTGAGCTCACAGCCATGGCCGCAGAACCAGGCCACAGGCCTGATCTGACCCTGTTCCTGGGGCCTGTCCCCATCAGATGCAGTGCTGGCCGGTGTATGCACAGAAGGCCTGGACCTGATACCACATTGTTCAGCTGTGGGCTTGGGGCCTGCTATTCCCTCAGGCCAGCCCTTTGAGGGACTTGGCTGTCACCTGGCCTTACCTGGTGTGGCACCCTCAGTCCCTAGAGCTACCATGCAACTGCAAATCGGGCCTGGAGTTCTGTTGGCAGAGGCCCTAGAACTAAAAGATTCTTCTCACTGTCTGGGGAGGGGGACACAGGGTGGAGGGTATGAGGGGGGCCTTTCCCCAGGGCTGATCCATTCCTCCCTCCCTGTTTGAGGCTTTTTTTTTTTTTTTTTTTTTTTTTTTTTGTAGCTCTGGCTGTCTTGGAACTCGCACTATAGACCAGGCTGGCCTTGAACTCACAGAGCTCTATCTGCCTCTGCCTCTGCCTCCGGAGTGCTGGGATTAAAGGAGGTGTGTGCCACCACTCCCTGGCTGGAGACTTTTTTGTAGAGTCCCCCCTACCCCCTCCCCAGCAGACCTGCAAGCCTAGGCTCACCCTGACCTCAGAGTCTTGTCAGAGCTTCGAGGGGTTGATTTTTAAGCTTCCCATGGGCTCTCACCAGGATTCCCTCACCAGGTTTGGAGCCAGGCAGATAAGTACCCATGTCGGCTGCCCAGAGCCCGGGCACTTTTAGGGGCTGGAACTTCATCTAGAGAAGTAATTTCTGCCCTGTGTTCCGATGAAGTGAAGGCCTTGGCTTCTCTGGCTCTTGGCATGGAGAGGAGGGGCCAGGCTTGACCGCTTCCCCAAGGTGTTCAAAAGGGGCGCTGCCCGGCCCCTAGCACTACTGCAGCTCTGAATAAACCCTGAACCAATGACCCTTTTCCCAAGCCTGGGGATCTGCTGGCTGAGACCCTAGAGCCCACACCCACACGTTTCTCTTACTGTCCAAAGCGGGTGTTGGGTAGACCAACAGGCAGGGATTCTGCGCTTGGGCACACGAGCGTCTGAGACTCGTGGCCACCTTGTGTTCCCTCCTACCCCCACCCACCCAAGGCTTCTGCTCCCTACCCTGCTCAGCTCCTCCCTTTCTGGACCGTTCTTCTTACCCATCAATCTTCCTGGCTACCTGTCTCCACCCCCTTTTATAAGGCCCGGAAGTGGCTTGTGAATTCCCCCCTACCCACAGTTCACACACCTCCACCCACCTCTGGGATGCCTGGGCACACATGTGCCTTCCCTGGACGACCATCACCACCCACAGGCCTGTATTGGCAGGAAGCAGTGTCTGTCCCCCAGATACTGTTTGCCTCTACCTTTGTAAATACGGCGATGGGGCGTCCTAGTGGTCCACACCAGAATGCCTACCTACATATGCAGCGGTCGATGGCTCTACTGTGGTCCCATCAGGCCTGTGGGGAGAAGGAGGAGGAACCTCTGAGTATTCTGCCCAATCCTCTTTGTGTTTGATTTCACCTGACCCACCAAGGTCTGCAGTTCTGGGGCAGATGCTGGGCCTCAGGACAGCAGAGCCTGTAGTGCCTGCCTCTGTGTGTGTGTGTGTGTGTGTGTGTGTGTGTGTGGTGCCTTCTCTGAGGAGGCTTCCCCCTCTGTCTTCCAATGCTGTATGCTCACATCCCCAGACTCTGGGCTGTGGTGTCTACTCCTGGAGAGCTCCACCAAGCAGCCCATCCCTGGCTCTCTGTCCTCTAGGCCCCCACTGATAGAGCTCTGTCTGATGCCTCGTAATCCCAGAATTGCCAAGGGCAGGCGTGTAACAGCCACCCCATGACCCTGGTCAGTCTTGCCTCCTCAGAACCAAGGTATGGCTTTTGGAATGCGAAAGGCTCTCATACCCAGCCTACCACAAAATGGAGGAGTTAGGAGTTGGTCTGGGAACAGCTGAGGTCTGGACCTGCTGAGAGGTTGACAAGGAAGGACACATCGATCTTTCAGAAAAAAGTGACTCAAGGGGCTGGGGAGGGGGTGGCTCAGTCAATTAAGCCCTTGCTTTATAAGCACAGGACCCAAGTTACATCCCCAGGACCAGGACCCATGTAAAAATGTCAGATATGGTGGCATGTGTTTGTAACCCTAGCACTGGTGCGGTGGAGACAAGAGGCCCCCTGGGGCTCACTGGCCACCCAGACTAGTCCAGTGAGCTCCGGGCCAAAGAGAGACCTTGTCTCAACGGAGGTGGATGGTGTTCTTGAGGATGGCATCCAGAGTTATCCTCTGGTCTACACTCACACACACTCACACACACACACTCACACAAACACTTACACAAACACACTCACACAAACACTTACACAAACACACTCACACACACAAACACACACTCACACTCACACAAACACACTCACACACACAAACACTCACACACTCACACACACTCACACAAACACACACTCACACACACTCACTCACACACACTCACACACACACTCACACACACACTCACACACACACACCTGGGACACTCCAGGGAGGGAGAAAAAGGGACAGGTGAAGGCAAGGGTAGGGAAGAGGCCTTGCTCTGGAAGCCCCTATGCTCTGTTCCAGCTCCTGTGTCTGAGAGATGAAGGCCTTTGCTGCCCACAGGACCCGTGAGAACCCTGCAGGCCACCATACATAGGTGCAGCCCCTTTGGACACATGCTTCAGACTCAATCCCAAGCCCTACGTGGGGCCTAGGGTCTATACCTCAGCATCTGAAAACGGCCAGTGACACACCCCAAAGAAAGGCTAGCTGCCCTGGGGAGGGGGGAGTCATCGAGGAAGGCCCGGCACACGGGGGTCCTCCGGCCCGTCATCCTGGGTTTGGGTCTCTAAATGGAGTCCTCCGCCTCTTCTCATTCCTGATAGAGAGGCCTGGCCTCAGTAGACACCTGGCCTCAGTCCCAGTTGTGTTGAGCTGGGCTGCATGCTGAATGATGGGTCCCTACGGATGGGAAGGACCCTCCTCCCTGACCCTGGCCCTCCATCTGGGGCAGTCCATTTCCTGTCACCAGTGGTCCAAGGTGGCCAACAGCCAGTGAAGATCTAGGGACAGTGTGCAGGGCCCCTGTCCAGGTGGAGCTTAAGTGAACAGCACGTTCTGATCCCTTGACAAACTTGAAGACCACGTGCCTGGTTTGGGTGATAAAAAATTAAAGACAAAAGATTTTAAAATGGCTTCAAGTAGGGAAAAAAAAAAAAAATGGGCCTGGGCCTGGGCCGGGTGGGCCCCAAGAGTACCTTAAAGGGGAAGAGATAAATAATTTAGCAGCCGGAATAACTAGAGTCTGTCAGGCTGCCAGCTTTAAGGGAAATAAAGGGGGTTACAAGAATCCTGAGAGATTTTAGAGAGCCCCGGGGCTTTGAGGAGGCCAGACAGAGCCAGGCAGGAGCTGGTGTCAGAGCTGGTGGTTAACTGGGCAGCAGAGGACGATACATGGTGGTCAGGAGACCTGAGAAACGGTCTGAGCAAAGTGGGCCTTTCTAGGGTACCTGGTAGCTGTGTGGGGGAGGGTTTCCCAGTGGCCCCCAAATCGGGGGTTAGGTAGGAAGGAACCCTGTGCACATCTGTTGGCTCAGTAGGAGGTTCAGACCAGAGATCCTGATAGAAGTTTCTCTTGCAGTCTAGCTGAGGAGACAGCGTTGCCAACCCTGGGCAGGGAGGAGCCCAAAGCTGGGCTGGCATTCTTGAGTAAACTTGGAAGCCCCTCCGTTCTGCATGAGTTTCCAATTTTTTTCTTTCACTTTTTTGAGACAGGGACTCAACTCATGTGTCCTGGGCTAGCTTTGAACTGGCTATATAGCCAGGGATACTTTTAACTCCTCATCTTCCTGCCTCTCTACCTGCAGAGTGCTGGGATTATACGTGTATACCGGCGTGTACACCAATCCAGCTCGTAGGGTGCCAAGCGCTGAAACCAGGACTATGTGCATGCTAGGCAAGAATGCTACCAACTGAGCTGTGCCTCCGACCCTCTGTTTTGAAGTGAGGTCTAGGTAGCCCAAGCTGGCCTGGAATACTGGGGGCTGGGCTGGCAAGAATGCCCCTCACATCTGGCTTCTTTGTGCTTTGATGATTGGGACTCCTGGTGTGAAGTTTATTTCCATCAAAAAAAAAAAATTTTTTTTTTTGTAAAGTTTGCCCTAATTAAAGTTTGGCAGGGGTGGCACACACCTCTAATCCCAGCACTCGCACTCGGGAGGCAGAAACAGGTGGATCTCTGTGAGTTCCAGGCCAGTCTGATCTACAGAGTGAGTTCCAGAACAGCCAGATATACACACAGAGAAACCTTGTCTTGAAAAACCAACCAACCAACCAACCAACCAAACAAACAAACAAACAAACAAAGTAAAACGTTTGAATCTCAGAATTTGGAAGGTGAAGGCAAGAGAATCAGGAGTTCAAAGCCAGCCTGGGTGATCTGAAGCCCTGCCTAAAAATCTAACAAGGCCGGCAGCGGGTTAAAACGCTTGCTGTGCAAGCCTGGCAGCCCTTGGATCTCACGATGGAGAGAGGGAACTGACCTCCACACCCTCACACATCGCACACGAATGAAAACTTGGCCATCGCCTCCTGTTCCCACTTGCTCTCTCCCCTTGGGGGTGTAGCTCCCTGTGTTTTCTCCTTGTCTCTCGTCTTTCTCGACTCCTGGGATGATCTGAAGGCTTCTTCTCTTCAAGGTCCCTCCGTCCCTTAGGAGGGTTTTCAACTTTATTTTTTTTTTATAAATTCTTTTATTTTTACTTTATGTGCATTGATATTTTGCCCGTATATGTATCTATGTGAGTGGTCAGATCCTCTGGACCTGGAGTTACAGTTGTGAGCTGCCATGTGGGTGCTGGGAATAGAACCTGGGTCCTCTGGAAGAGAGTCAGTGCTCTTAACCACTGAGCCCCTCCAGCCCAGTTTTCAATTGGAGATGGGTCAGTTTCATCTCTGCTGACTGCTGGATTAATTTTGCAGATGCGTGTGGTGTCCATGGCCTCACACATACTGGGTTCGTGTTCTTGGCTGAACTAAGTCCCACTGGGTCCCCCTGCAAGTTTGATCTGTCACTTCCTAGCACCTGTTAGGAACTCTGCCTGTCCCTTAAGGGTTCCTCGTGAGCATGGAGTCCAGAGCTGACCCTGCTCTTTGCAGTGCCCTCTCTCTCTGTCTCTCACTTCTCTCCCCTCCCCCTCCCCTCTCTCCCCTCCCCCTTTTTCCCCTCTCCCCCTCTCTCCTCTTTTTTCCTCTCCCTCTCCCCCCCTTACCTCTCTCCCCCTCTCCCCCTCTCTCCCCTCCCCCTCTCTCCTCTTTCCCCCTCCCCCTCCCCCTCTCTTACCTCTCTCCCCCTCTCCCTCTCCTCTACCCCTCTCTCCTCTCTCTCTCTCCACTCTCTGTCTTCAAGACAGGGTTCCTCTGTGTAGCCCTGGCTGTCCTGGCACTCACTCTGTAGACCAAGCTGGCTTCAAATACAGAGATCCGCCTGCCTCAGCCTCCCCAGTGCTGGTATTGATCGAGTTCGCCACACTGCCCAGCCGAAGGCTTTCCTCGTTACAGGCTGTACTTTCCTGTATCCTTTGCTTGCTTGCTGAGTTACTCAGTAGCGTGGTGGTAGAGCATGGGGCCTCCAGAGTGCTAACACTCCGCTGAGCTGCACAGCTGCACCCTCGCCCCTTCCCGATCCTTCCCGCTCTTCCGTGGAACTATGGATCGTGCCCTGTTGAGGTCTTTATGCTGTGTCCACTGAAATGTTCTCGAAGGTTACTTGCATAGAGATGGTGCCTTCCACCTGGGTTTTGCTCTCAAGGCTTCTTGGGTGTGGTTTAGGTTCAGGTTAATTATTCTGAACTAATATGGGAACTCTGCCAGTACCCAGTGTATGTCGATGTCTCTCTCCAGCTGGGTTTCTCCACCCTGCATACCCTTGGCTCTGTCTTGGCCTGTACACACTGACCTTGGCTCAACTGACTGAGTCTGAGGCTCACCTTTTCCTTTTAGTTTGTTGAGACAGGGTTTCTCTCTGTAGCCCCGGCTGACCCGGAACTCTCTGTGGACCAGGCTGGCCTCAAACTCAGAGATCTGCCTGCCTCTGCCTCCCTTGTGCTGGGACTAGAGGTGTGCACCACCATGCTGTGGGGCTCACTCGTTACCTTTCCTCAGGCTCCCAGCTTCATCTCCTCCCCTCAGGAGCTCCAAGCTTGCTGGAATTCCCTTCCTAGCGTTGTAGTCTGGAGGCTCACTCGACTGGTTTCCCCCAGGGCTCCCTACCCTTCCTTGACTGACTTCCAGTGGATCTCATATCTTTCTGAGGTTTTTAACTGCTTCGTTATTTTTGAGGGGGCAAGTCCCACCCCACATATTCTGTCTTGGCTGGATGCAGAATCTGTTCCTACATCTACAGACCAAGACCAGATGGGTAGGCCCAGCT